TTTTTTTTTTTTTTTCAACGGTTACGACTGTACCTGAACAGGACTTGGGCTTCTCTTCCGTCTTCACCCGAATAGAACGCCCGGCCATTATCGCTGCATCTGGACTGAAAAATGCCCCAAATACAGCTATAATGACAGGGCGTTGCATTCGGGTGAAGACGATAAACCTTTTTTTCTTTTTAAGGGATAAACCGCTTACAGAAAACTGCCGATCAGGCTAGAGGGAAGTGATTGGAATACACAGTGTGCACAAGTTAGACTTGGAGGTTCTTTGGTGAGTCGTAATTAGACCCCCCCATGGAGCGAAGCCGGGTAAGGCTCCCGGATATGATTGCTGATAAGGCTTAGGATTAGAAGGCTAGCTCGTTCCTTTGTGTCTGTTGGTAGATTTAATTGTCCTGTTTGCCTTTTCTGGGATAGCAAGTTTTGCTGTGAAGAGCATGGGACACTGGACCCGGTTTCCAGTCAAGCCTCTCCGGGGCTGGGTTTGTCTCTCTGGGTTGAGATGTGGAGGGATTCCCGGCCTCCAAACTTTTGTAATGAAAGCTATGTTATTCCTTAAAAAAAAAAAAAAAAAAAAAAAAAAAAAAAAAAAAAAAAAAAAAAAAAAAAAAAAAACTGCCGATCTGCAAAAATTTCCAATGATGAACAAACATTCTCCTCACCTGAATAATTTACATCGTGATTATCCTCATGATGAATATCATGACCATGTCACTAATAAGTTAATAACAATATGAAATGAAATGCACTCGGGAAATAAAATAAAATATTAAAAAAATCTTATTTTGCTTTAGAAAAGCCACCATAAAACATATTATAAAAAATATTATAGGAACAACTACTGTTACCACGTCAACGATTTTCTTAGTCTGACAACTTGTCTGGTCACGTCAACGATTCTGATTTCTCTTTTTTTTGTTTTAGTTTTTCACGTACTAAACGACTTACATCGTCATTATCATGAATACCATAACTATGCCTGACCATGTCATTACATACCCCAGACTCTCTCTCTCTCTCTCTCTCTCTCTCTCTCTCTCTCTCTCTCTCTCTCTCTCTCTCTCTCTCTC